CTAGGGGAGGCCCAGGACCGGTTCGGATATTCGTCACTGGTGTTTACCGTGAGCGGGAATCGAACTCGGGAAGCCAGGTTCGTAGAGCAGTGTGCTAACCGGTACACCACCACTCCCCACATATAAATCCCACACACACTCACACACACTCACACGCACTCAAATACACTTACACACACTCACACGCACTCACACACACTCACACGCACTCACACGCACTCAAATACACTCACACACACTCACACGCACTCACACACACTCACACACACTCACACACACTCACACACACTCACACGCACACACACTCACACACACTCAAACACTCACACGCACTCACACACTCACACACACTCACACACACTCACCCGCACTCACACACTCACACGCACTCACACGCACTCACACACACTCACACGCACTCACACGCACACACACTCACACACACTCACACACACTCACACACACTCATACACATTCACACACACACACACGCACTCACACACACTCACACACACTGACACGCACTCACACACACTCACACAGAAACTCACACACACTCACACACACACTCTCACACACACACACTCACATACACTCACACACGCACACATGCACACACACTCACACACACACTCACACGCACTCACAACAACAACCGCCATTCGCCACTAAGTGGCGGTGACATCACCACGACGCTTGTGCCAGGCCATGTGCACCTTGAGGCCACGTGGAGTGTCGAACGCCCACTGGCAGGAGGTCACGGGGCAGACCCAGGTGCCACGGGTCAACTGACTGAGATGACTGGCTGATGCACCACCTGTGCCCCCTACTGTGTCAACCTGCTGTGCTTTAGCCACCCGGCGCTCCGCTCGTTGTTGTGAGCGTCGCTCCTCCGCCCTCCGTTGTTGTTGGAGGGCGACTACCTCCAACTGCCCAGTAGCGTCCTTCACGAGACTCCTGCACAGAGGCCGATCTTGACACCGCTGGTACCAGTCATCGGCAAGTCCACTCAGCTCCACGTCCTCCTGTACCACATCACTCCATCTCTTCTCTAGCCCGTGCCGCGCCCGTTTAGCCTCCTCGATCCGGTCGAACAAAAGCTGTTTCGGCATGCGGTGGCCCAGCCATCGTAGCCTTGCCCGCCGGAGGAGCTCACCGATAGGACCTTGCCCAGATCTTTCAAGGATTTGTGAGCTCCTCACACAATCCAGTCTGGTTAAACCCAGGATGGATCATAGGCAGGCCAGCCTAAATGTTTCTAACCGGCGAAGATGTTCCATTAGGGGGGTCCATGTTTCGCAAGTGTAGAGAAGGGAGGGAATGACCGTGGCCGAGAAGACCTGAAGCTTCGTGCGGAACGACAGACCAGGTAGCTTCCACACAGCGTTACGCAACCGATGAAAATATATTGCCGCTCGACTGATTCGGAGTGAGACCTCTGCTGTTAAACTGGAGCCGGTCATAAGCACACTGCCCAGGTATGGGAAACTCTCCACTCTTTCCACAACTGCCCCATCACCGATTGGGAGTTGTGGGGGTGGAGTGTCCGATGGTACAAAATACCCAGGCAGGTGCTTAGTTTTGGTGGGGCTGATCGTAAGGCCCCATCTCTTAGTGGCACGCTCCAGTCTCAGCAGCAGCGTCTCCAACTCCTACCTCTGAATGAGCAGCTATTACCAAATCATCAGCATACATAACGTGGTTGAGCAAGAGGGAGCCATCCCTTGACCGCACGCGGGCATCGATCAGCCTCCCATTATATCTGTACCATATGGAGATTCCCCCAGTACAGCTATTGAAGGCTTCACGAACTACGTGGTGAAAATAGATGTTAAATAATGTGGGAGCCAGAGGACATCCCTGTCGCACCCCAAGGTGTACAGGGAATGGCTCTGACTCCCGGCCACGTAGTTTTACCCAGGCCCGCTCACCATCATGAAAGTCCTTAATGATCGTGAGCAGAGGGTCAGGGACTCCAAAAGCACGAAGAACAACCCAGAGCCCAGGCCTACTAATGGTAACATAGGCCTTGACCAGGTCAATAAAGCAGAGATGTAGGTCTTGCTGGAATTCCCTACACCTCTGCTGTAGCAGACGGACAGAAAATATGGCATCTGTGCAGGACCGCCCTTTCCTGAAACCGCATTGGGGCTCCGCAAGCCTCTCCTCAGCGTGCCTGGCAAGGCGATGTTGAATAATCCTTGCCAGGACCTTTCCCGGCACACTGAGGAGTGAGATGCCCCTGTAGTTGTTACAGTCTGTGCGGTCCCCCTTCTTAAAGAGGGGGACCACCAGGGCATCCTTCCAATCCTGCGGAACCCGTCCAGTGGTCCAGATTGTTGTTATGATGTCATATAGGGCAGTCTGTGCACAAACGCCATCCTCCCTCAGCATTTCGCTTGGGAGATCGTCTCTACCCGGTGCCTTTCCTGGTATCAGACTCCGGATCGCCTTCAGTACTTCCTCAACAGATGGCACCTCAGCCAGCCACTCACAGTGGGTGACTTCTTCCAATATTTGAGGCACCGCAGCCTCAGCAGCGTCATCCCCACTTTGTGCCACGATGTTTTCCTGGCTGAGGGATTTCCCCTCCCCCAGGACCTCACAGAAATGCTCAGCAAATCTGCAAACCTGTTCCTGGGGGTCAGAGATTGGAGCACCGTTTTTTCCCCTAATGATGGTAATAGGTGTGGTGTTGCAGGTTACTTTTTTGATGGAGTTAAATAGAGATTTGTGATCACGGGCCACTGAGGCAGACTCCACCTCCTCAGCAACCCGCGACCACCACCCATCCTTGCAGCACCTCAAGGCTCTCCGAACCTCCGAGCGAAGGCTGCGGTAAGCCTCCTCATTCTCTGACGTGGGATTCTGTAGCCGATGACAGTGGGCCTGTTGCTTTTTCTCAACCATCCTGAACACCGCCTCTGTCAGCCAGGGTCTCTGGGGAGGTCTGGACCGCGTACCCAAAGCAGCCATTGCAGCTGCATGAGTCACAGTCCTAAACCTCGCCCATTTATCCTCGACATCAGGAGGAGTGGGGGATGATGCCAACCCCAGCCGCAAGCGATGATGAAATTCTCGCTTGCAACTTTCATCAGAAAACTGAGAACAGGCCACTTTAGATTTGAATGGAGTCCTGGGTATACACCCACCACCGGAGTGGAAGAATGGCAGGCGCATCTTACAGATGACTAGTCGATGGTCAGAGGGCAGAGCAGCTCCACGGTAGGTCCTGGTGTCAAGGACATGGACTCGCATCTGCTGGTCCGTCACTATGTAGTCCAGCAGATGTTCTTGCTTGGACCCGGCATGCATCCATGATATTGTGTGGATGCGCCGATGCCGGAACAGCGTGTTGGTAATTACAAGCCCATGGGCTGCACAAAAATCTAGCAGCCTCCTACCGTTGTTATTGAGCTGTACTGGCCCATGCCCTCCAATCACTCCAGACCAGGTGCCAGCATCATGACCAACTCGGGCATTGAAGTCACCCAACATGATGACTCTATCCCGAGGGGCCACTTTAGCCAGCACCTGTGACAGGAGGTCATAGACGGCATCTGACTCATCGGCTTTGCCTGCATCCCTCCACGGATGTTCGTCTTCGGTGGGGGCATAAGTAACCACGACCACCACTCCTCGCCTCCGGTTGATGGGAAGGCAAGCCCAAAGTAGCCTGGGGCTTACAGCTTCCCACACCTCACCGCCACGCTCCCACGCCCCCTTCATTCTTTTGTTCAAAAGAAGAGCCACACCCTGTTGTTTGGCAGTCTGCTGCCCCGAGTAGAGGACTGTCCACCCCTCATGGTGGCAGGAGCCAGAACCGGTCCACTGGATCTCCTGAATGCCACAGAGATCCAGGCGGTACCGGTCCAGCTCCCGACGAGGAGTGGCAGCCTCTCCTCCGCAGTGAGCGTTCGAACATTCCACGTGGCCATCCGTAGTGGCTTTTCGTTGTTTCTGGAGGAGCCCCGAGGGTAGAGATTCAATCTCCTGGCTCCGCCAATTGGGGTTTGGCCAGGAGATGTCATAGACGCCTGTCCCCCCTGGGGCCTCCGGCACAAGCTTATTAGTTACATTTTGTATCCGTAGTTTAGTGGTAATTAATTGAAGGTGGAGGGGTTACCAGCCCCTCGCACCCGTCCAGAGCCCCTGTTTTAGCCACTGTGGTGGACACAGACGCCATGAGGGGAGGAGCCAATCGGAATTGGACCTCCCCCCACAGCAGTGTCAACGACAGAGTTGCCCGCCCGGCACCGCGAGGAGGTAGGGGGTTGTTTTGCACACACACACACACTCTCACACACTCACACACTCACACATGCACACACACACACTCTCACACACTCACAAACACTCACACATGCACTCACACACACTCACACGCACTCACACACACTCACACATACTCACACACACACGCACTCACACACACACTCACTGTGCATGAACAATGGAGGGAGGCAGCGTGAGAGTGACGCTGGTTAACCACTGGGCTATTGTTCTGTGCGTGAACAATGGAGGGAGGCAGTGTGAGAGTGACACTGTGTTACCACTGGGCTATTGTTCTGTGCATGAACAATGCAGGGAGGCGGCGTGAGAGAGGCGCTGGTTAACCACTGGGCTATTGTTCTGTGCGTGAACTATGGAGGGAGGCGGCGTGAGAGAGGCGCTGGTTAACCACTGGGCTATTGTTCTGTGCGTGAACTATGCAGGGAGGCAGTGTGAGAGTGACACTGTGTTACCACTGGGCTATTGTTCTGTGCGTGAACAATGCAGGGAGGCGGCGTGAGAGAGGCGCTGGTTAACCACTGGGCTATTGTTCTGTGCGTGAACAATGGAGGAAGGCAGTGTGAGAGTGACACTGTGTTACCGCTGGGCTATTGTTCTGTGCGTGAACAATGCAGGGAGGCGGCGTGAGAAAGCGCTAGTTAACCACTGGGCTATTGTTCTGTGCGTGAACAATAGAGAGAGGCAGCGTGAGAGAGGCGCTGGTTTACCACGCGGCTCCAGGAGGCTGTGCACCGTGAAGCGAGGCACCGACGGGCCTGCAACCAGAGCGGAGAGACGCTGGGTGAGACGTTTGTTACGGAAGGCCTCGTGTACGTACGCTGGACTTCTTTTGCGCCGTACCTAGCCAACCGTGCTAATCGGAGGTGCGGGGGAAGGACAACAAACTGAACACAAGAAGCAGTTCATTCTTATGCAAAGCGCCACATGCAAACAAATACACGCGATGAAAATTGTCCGTTGCACCGCCAACAAATAAAATAACAATTCCTTTTCGTCGGCCAGCCAGCTTTCTGGATCATCACCTTCCAGTCGCAGCTGTTTACTAAAACGAATACAACCACAGGATCCGTGTAGATGTTTTCTTTTCGGCTCTTTCTCACTAATTAATTTGCAAATGTGCTCTCGGTGGTATGTCATAATAATAATGAATTACGTTTATATAAAGCACCTTTTATACATGGTACTCAAGGGGCTGTACATCACGAAGAAATATCATAGGCAAAGGGGAGGGAAAACTAAGAAGGCAGAGAGGCGTTCATGAGAGAAGCGAAAGCGAGAGAGCGGCAGTGACCCCGCATCGATCCAGCGGTGTTTCCACCACTCGGCCCTTGTCTCCGAATCCCGAGCAACTCTGGGCAGGGTACTCCAGAGGCTGGGAGCAGCAGCAGCAGCACGGCGGAGTGCGCGGTGGGCGCTGGGCCTCACTGTGCCCCACTGGGAGCCGCGCCCGAGGACAGCACGGTGGGCACCGCCAACAAAGGACGAGGCCTTCGTGAAGGCCACACGCACGGGCAGGGCTGTGTTATTCAATAGGCACTGTGTCTAGGGCCTACGGAAACTAAAGGGCCTAGGAAAGACAAATTTTGACCGTGTTTTTATTTTATTTTGATGATACAAAGCATCCGCGGCGCACAGCGCGCTCCCATCCAATTGGAGCACAGGCTAAATGATGAACGTGTCAGTAACGACGTCTGTCGAGCGGCTGGACGAAGTACCGCGTGAAACAAGCGGAGTGACAGCGGCGGTAGTAGTGACATGGGGCAGCAGCAGCACCAGTTGTAGAAAGTTATAATTGAAGGCCTACGAAACAGAAGTGCCTCGGGCCTACAAGAACCTTAATCCGGCCCTGCAAAGGGGGTCAGTAGCTGTATGGGATCATGCGGTCTTCCACTCTGATGGCCTTGTGTGTCAGAAGGACTGTCCTAATTATGATCCCTGCAGCAAGCAGTGGACCCCCCAATGTCAGAGAATGGCCCCTGGAAGATGATGTCACGTAACTGCTTCTAAAAACAGCAGTGTACGGCTCAGTTCCGTGACCCGTTGAGCGACACAGCCACCTCTGGTTTCAATTTCATGAGTTTCATCAGCAGGGTGTGGCCTATTAAAATGAATGCTGCTAGGTTTCTTGGCGCTGTAGGCAACAGCCCTCCATGAACAGTCACGCCTATTCAAGGCAGAATATATTTTACCAACATTTATTACGTGTGACCTTATGGGATTGTGGTTAATTCAACACATACATAATTCAGTTGAGGCTTTGTTTAAAACAAATGAGAATCAGAATCCTTATTTAAACTGGAGGAATCTGATGAGCCAAGAAGCTCTTTTTCACATGTCCAGGAGGTCCACCAGTCAACCTCGCAGCATTTCTCTAAAGGCTACGTCATTCGGATGAGACCTGGAAACGGCAAGGCCAGTCTGGGGTTTGTTTGCTTTAAATAACCCTGAAAACTAAACACCACAGACCTATCTTTGGCCGTCCCTTCAATAAGGTCTCACACAATAGCGGACATCATTCCGTCACGCATCTATGGAGTGGTTTGTGACATGTCAACATCTGATACGTTTACACATTTTATCCCTCAAGAGCTGGGGCTAGCTGACAATGTGAGTGGGAGGGGGGGCAGGGGGAGACATTTCTCAATAATAATTTTTGAACGCATTCATTGGTGACCGGGCTGAGCCCATCAACTCACTGCGTACCAGAGCCTTGTGTTAAACACTCGGGGGCTGCCCATTATTAAAAGGCTGCACCTCAGTGGGTTATGGCTCAGTGGTCTGACACGGCCATTATGAGCCTCATGAACCAACCGGGCTGTCTTATTCAGAATTGTATTTGAAGACACGTCTCCATGAATTAATCATGTGTTTGAAAAAAAAAAACCAAAGAGAAGCATTGATGTTTTAGAGGTGACTATAATTTTTTTTTATAATCTGGTTAATAAGTATGAGTCTCCGCATAATTGTATCCACTGTCGAACCCTTGCCACTCTCTCCTGTGAATTTCCCCTTTGTAATCACTGTCAGTGAAAGCGTCTCACATTCGAGCCTTTACTCCTTTGTTATCTCTGAAGTCTGACCTCTCCGTCCCTCCCTCACTGCTCACATTCTGCCCTTATCTCCCCCCCCCCCTGCCTCCACCCCTTGCGATGAGTTTCCGTAGAATGTCAACCGGGCATTGACACTGACGACCATTACGGTACGCCACGTCCATCCGCAGTTGTACCTCGAGCACCGATAATCCGGCTATGTGCTGTGGGACCCTTTCTCCCCGACTTATGTCGTTTTTTTTTATAACGATAATGATGATAGCCAAAGTAATTACAGTATCGTTGTCGATGTTGGCCATGGCGGAGATAAGTTTTAACTCTTTCAATCCCGACCCTGATGCCACATTTGGAGTTTGCATGCCTCCCTCTAACGCGCCGCCACACGGTATCCGCTCGCTCTCGTAGAGAGAGAATGACTCAGAGGCGCGAGGAGGAACCACAGACAAAAGGAAGGCAGCCACGTGGTGAGTCGGTGCCAACAATTACCCAAGCTTTGCAGTCCTCTCCATATTGACGTAGTATTGGCCAATTAACGCCTGCCTTCATGTGGGAGTAAACCAGAGCACGCGGAGAGAACCCACGCGTGCGAGGGGGAAACACTCAATCCCATACAGAGGAAACAGGTGGAGCGCACATTTTTCTTGGACCACCTTCTTCCGGCGAGCCAGGGAACGGCTCCCCCTCGCCTCCACAGCGCTAAAGCAGCGCGCCACCACTCCGCATAAACACGAACGCGTGTGCAAACACACGCGCGCGCATGTGCAAACACACGCACGCACACACGCGCGCGCGCACGTAACACCAAGTCAAAGAACGCACGAAACAAACGGCAAAAGTGGGCGGCGAACGCTAACGGGGTCCGCGCGCGGTACCAGTGCTCATCATTAAATATGCATCGAGCAATCGGCGCAGCACTCATACGTCGTGAATAAGGAACGCGGTATGACGGCGCGCTGTGCACCGCGGCCCCGAGGGGTTGAGGTGGTGGCCGGGGAGCGGTGCTGTAACGTACCCAGGCAGTGCAGCATCACATGGCCGCAGCCCGGGCTCATGAGGGCCGAGAAGTAGCTGCAGTTGGGCACGAGGTTGCACGACTCGCAGCTGCGGTGGAACGAGCCCTGTAGGTCCACACTGCGGGGAGCGCGGCCGCCACACGACACGCGACACGCAAACAGAAACGGCTCGGGCTGATCGTGTGCAACAATCGCGCGCAACGTTTCGTTGTGCGTACACAGATCGCGTCTCTCGCAAATCGCCGGGGAATCACAGGCGAGCGTGAAGGCAGCGGGCGAGGGGGCGAGGAGCTGGCGTGACCAACAATTGCCCAGGCTCCGCTAACCTCTGACACATTCAGGTGTTTTCAGGCAGCTCATGAGCGCTTACGCAAGTGGGAGGAGGACACCGGTTCACCCGGAGAAAACCCAGGCGTGTCCGAAGGGGTGACGCTTCGTCCCCACACAGAAGGGACAGACGATGAAGCCTGATCCCTAATTCCTAACTTAACCTAGGCAAGGGCTGGCAACGTCGAAATTGTGCAATCCTCTACTCATGTACAGCGTGGCCAGGGATCAACAGCAGGCTGCCAAGGCTGCAGCGCGAAACAAAAGTAAGTTTTGGAAGAGTGGTGGCAAAGTGGTTTCATTTTCTGGATACGGCTAACATCAGTGGCGTATGACCCTTTGTCAGTCCGCACTGAACCAGCACGGTGAAGTATGGTCAAACGATGACACTGGGGATGGCTCCAGACAAGCTTCCTAAGAGTTCCCTCCAATGGTGGCCTGCCCGCCAGCAGTGGCGTGAGCAAGCAATTGCAGGGCCGCGCCTTTACCTTATACAAACAAAGACGAAGAGAATCAGAATCGTTATTTACACTGGAGGAGATGTCCAGTAGGGGCACGGGGTCAGAACGTTACAACAACAAACAATTCAAAAACGCGATAGGAGTGCAAAGTATAGGGAAGGTAAACAAATCATTTAAAATATACAAACATCCTCTGATATTATTAAACGTGCTCTTATATCATCAGAGGATGTTTGTTTCCATGCTCACCACAAGTACGTGCGGTTAATGCAGCGCTTGATTCCTTGCAAAAGGTTCCCCTTTGCCGTTTGAACATCTTAACACCTTTGCCAGAAAGGGTAAAACCTATTCTTATTTTTCAAAACTAAAATATATATTTTTCAATCCGACCGGGCAAAGCCCACCGAGGAATTTACTTGTTTTTGTTTCAGAAGCAACCTGGCCACAAACGATAGCTCAACAAAGTGGCTTTATCGCCTAGTGGAAATCTTTCGACAGAGACGGGGGGGGGGGGGGGGGGCGGTCCCAACGACGTGGCTGGGTTGTGATGCGCGCGAGTGCCGGACGGGTCACAGAGATATGCAGGCGCACGGCACTGCGTCGCGCTGTTACCCTTTGCGAACCATTTGTCGGATGTAAACCAGGAACGCTTTAACGGGGGGGGGGGGGGGGGGGGGGCAGGGGGGGTGGGAGGGAGAGGAGTGGGGGGCTACATCCCCCCACAACCGCCCACGCCCATCGCTTGTCGCGTTCAATTCCGTAATGAGCCGCTCATGCAATTCTGCCGGTGACTCATTACACAATAAAGTAGTGGAATTTAATAAACTCACTCGGAGAAATAATGGAAAATTAAGCTCATAGCTATTATGGGTAATTACCTGCCATGTCACCGCCGTTGGATGGGTCGCGCAAACGCCGGGGTGGAGGGTCTCCAATATCCCGGCGTAAAACGAGCGCGCGCATGAACGAACGCGCTCCCATGAACGAACGCACGCGCATGAACGAACGCGCTCCCATGAACGAACGCACGCGCATGAACGCACGCACGCGCGCGCCGCGAACGCCGCGAACGCCGCGCACACCGTGCACTGCACGCTCCCGTCTTCAGCACGCGAAGCTTCCATCGGCGTGGAGAGGATGGCCTTTTGGCAGTTTGGTCCAGAGCCGCTCAAAGATTGTGAAATGTAGGGAAGGCACGGGGCCAGTGTTACTTCTAGTCAGCATTTTTCCTATAAGTCTGGGGCTGCTGACAGCCTGTGGAATATTAATCAAAAGTCCTAAGTCTGTGGATTTCATTTAGTCATTCAAATATTTTTTTTAAAAAAATCTGACAAACTTAACAATCCCATACCTATGACTCTTCCGAGGCTGCCCTCCTCCCTCCTCCCACCCCAACCGCTGCCAGAGTAAGACTGTGCTCTGCCTGGGGGAGTGATCTATGGCGTGTGAGTACTGTGCAACACTTGTGTAGTGTCTTGTTAAATTACTCACACCGACACGTTGTAACAAGTCACCTGCTTACACTTTATTTCACCTGTTCTCGCGCCAGGTGTAGGCACTCCTATAACTATCTGTAATGTCACAAACACTTGACTTCTCCCCGCACTTATTCTGCACTCAGCAACTCTGCACACAGCAGCTCCGCACTCAGCGACTTCGCACTCAGCAGCTCCACACTCAGCGACTCTGCACACAGCAGCTCCACACTCAGCGACTCTGCACACAGCAGCTCCACACTCAGCGACTCTGCACTCAGCAGCTCCGCACTCAGCGACTCCGCGCACAGCAGCTCCACACTCAGCGACTCTGCACACAGCAGCTCCACACTCAGCGACTCTGCACACAGCAGCTCCGCACTCAGCGACTTCGCACACAGCAGCTCCACACTCAGCGACTCTGCACACAGCAGCTCCACACTCAGCGACTCTGCACACAGCAGCTCCACTCTCAGCGACTCTGCACACAGCAGCTCCACACTCAGCGACTCTGCACTCAGCAGCTCCGCACTCAGCGACTCCGCACACAGCAGCTCCATACTCAGCAACTCTGCACACAGCAGCCCTGCACTCAGCAACTCTGCACACAGCAGCGCCGCACTCAGCGACTCCGCACACAGCAGCTCCGTACTCAGCGACTCCGCACACAGCAGCTCCGCACTCTGCGACTCTGCATCTCCACCGCTGCCCTCACCTACGCTCCCTTAGAACCGCTCACCCGTCTGTCCAGGGCAGCGGGTTCAGCCAACACCCGTCCGGCAACGGCGTGAGGGTTGAGGTCCCGTTGATGGCTTGACCGGCAGCAGCGAGATGTCTTCACACTTCGTTCCCGGGAAACTCAACCCTCCGCTTACGCACACTCCCCTTACAGTATATATCCCTACTAATTCTGAGTCCCCACGTGCTCCCACTTAAGCTGCCATCTGCCCGGCGCCCCTTGCCCTCGATAATCCTGATCATCACCCCCATCTCCCGTCTCCACAGCGCCAACCCCATGTTCCCACGCGCACACCTGTTCGACCTCAGTTTTACCCGCTTCTCCCCTTAGTTACTGGTGGTTTGTTGGTGCAAACATCATGTTGCAATGCACACATCTATTCGACCTCAGTTGCACCCGCTTAACAGCGCGCACCGTGTATATTTCTCCTCTACATCATCCCCCCCCGTGAATAAAGATGCAGCCGTCCCGGCTGTCAAATCTATGCGAGCGTGCGCACATGTGTTGTGACCGACCCATTAAAACTAACATAATTGTAAGCAGTGACCGCGGAAGGGGCAACGAAATAACAACAATAAAAAGTATCGAGCGTAATGTGATGGCGTGAATAATCCGTCCTATTAACGAAAAGTAACGCATTGTGAGCAAGTGCGTGTGGCAGGACCGTCCCCACGGGTAGAGTTGGTTTCGCTCGGGTGTGAGGAATGGTCCGCTGCAGGAGTCCTCATCGCTCCATCCATGGACGTTAGGTGCTCCGGTCCTGTAGGCATTACAGAACAATCCCCCTCACGTCCCGTTTCCTCAGCCATGGCGGTCAGCGCGCCGGACACATCAGACATTGGCCGCAAGAGATGTGGGGATGAATCGACAGGACCGGGCGAGACATATCTTTTTAACCACGACGGATGCACGAACCAGCACCGCTGGCCCAACCTCGACCGGTCCTTGCCAAGGACGGTACAGTTTTGGGGACGTGCCTACAAGCTCTTGAGGGCAGTGCAACAACGCCATGTCACCGTTTTGCCAAGGCACCCCTGGACCTGCTTGTACCCACAGCCACTCGTTTCCTGCCTGCGTGCGGGCCGAGTTGCTCCTAGCAGCCTCGCGGGCCAACCGCAGCTGCTCAAGTGTTAGTGACATTGGGTCTGGCACCACCGACCCCTTCCAACAAGGGCGCAAGCCCATCTGAACCTACACCGGGGGTTTGGGCTCTCTCCGATACATCAAATAGAACGGTGAGAATCCCGTTGAGACATGAGGAGCTAGCCTGTAAGCAGCGAGGACCCTTGGAATGTGAAGATCCCAGTCCGACTGGCCCATGGTCACTTTCTGGCATAGCATGGAATTAAGTTTCCTGTGCAACCGCTCGACCATCCCATCCGTTTGTGGATGATACAGTGAGGCACGTGATTTCCGCGTACCCAGAGAATCGCACACCTCCTGGAGCAACTTAGAGGATAAATTCCTGCCCTGATCCATGAAGAGCTGCTCAGGGGCCCCCTTATCAAGAACATAACCATAAAAAGGCGTCGGCTTTGGATGCGGCTGATTGGTCAGCCGGAAGCCAGGCCATAGGCCAACGGGTCAGATATTCAACCCCGACAAGGAGGTACTTGTGTCCTCTCTGGGAGACCGGAAAAGGGCCCCAAAATGTCAAGGGCCAACAATTCATTCACCAGTGACACAACAATGGACTGTAATGGGATGTGCGGTCGCAGGGCAGGAGATTTCCGACGTGCACAAGCAGCACAAACTCTTATCAGGAGGAGTACATCGTTTTCCATGCTAGGTCAGTAAAAGTCCTTTTTTAGTGGCGCTAACGTTTTATGAACGCTCAGGTGCATCAATTGTTCGTGTATATCTTTAGCTAGTTTTCCCCTAAGGACCATGGTTACGACCAAAGAATAACGCTAGGACTCCCCTTCCTACCACATGAGGAGTCCCTCGTCTCGTGTAGTACATTGGATGGGTGACCCCCGGGGCCTGGACCACGAGAAGCACGATGACGCAATCTCAAGAGTGAGGCGTCATCAACCTGTAGCGTAGCCCACGCATCGTGGTCAAGATTCAAGACAGAATCACGTGGTGACTGAGCACCTTCAACCCGCGTTGTCCC